TCTCTCTCTCTCTCTCTCTCTCTCTCTCTCTCTCTCTCTCTCTCTCTCTCCCCCTCCCCCCTCCCTCTTTCTCTCCCTCCTCTTCCTCCCCCCTCTTTGTTCTCATTTAGCTCTTTGGCAAGCAGAAGTATCCCATCCAAAGGGGCTGGTCCTCAGTAAGCCTGATCAGGGACAGGTCAGCTGCCAACTCCTCTGCCCCAGTCAGTCATCTGGAGACAGTCGTGTTGTCAACAGTTTACCCAGAGAGAATGGGATGGGGCCAGGCTTCCGCCAGGAGGGCACAGACTAGCTGTGGAGGCCTGTGGCTCCTTCCTGCTACACCAGGCCTGCACTCTCCATGGCTTGCGGGTCGTGTGGTGATCCTAGCTTCCTTGTAGGGCCTTTTGTGCTTCTACCCAGTTCCATCCCGCCAGTTTATCCCCCTGCTAGGGCATCTCCTGAGCACAGACCCACACACTTTAAGCGGTCTCACCTGGGGAGTTAGGATCCTGTCCACCTGGTGTTGGTATGCTGGTTGCTCACTTTGCTTTAGGGTCTGCACACCTGGTGTGTGTGAGTGTGTGTGTGTGTGTGTGTGTGTGTGTGTATTGTTTGTGCTGTCTGTGTACCCCTCTTACTCCTGGGAGTACACTTGTGGGCACACTGCAGTGGGGACATCAAGGATGCAATATTTATGGACTTCTGCATGATTCTTAAAAATGAATAAAACTGTTTACAAGGGAAGGGGAACCGTTAACTGTGAAGTGGGCTTATTTGTGAAAGTTTCTGTCCAACTTTCTCCAGCACTCACGCTAATATTTTTACTCAAGAGGATCTCGAGGTGGAGGAGTGGCAGAGGGAAAGGGTAGGGAAAGGCACGCTTCTGGGTGGGAGTCGATGTACCATTGCCTGTTTTCTGCCTCGCCTTCTGGGCACCAGGCTTATCTTCCCCAGCTCTCCAGCTCCTGCTGAAGCTGAGTAAAGAGCCCCACCCCCACCCCTGCCTCTGCACAGCCTTAAACCAGAGAACTTCCAACACTGCAGCTCCTCAATAATTCAATAGCAAGAACGCTAGTGACCGGAGGGAGGCCAGGGGAAGGGAGGAGGGAGGGCCACAGTGTTCATCCAACCTTTGTCCTTGTCACTTAAAGCTTGGTAAAATTAACGGGGCAAATGACCCACTAGGAGAATTTGGCAAGTCCATGACTTAGTTCTGAGTCTTACCCACCGGCTCTGCTTCCTTGGCTGTCTGGAAAGGAGGGAGAGCACTTCTGCAGAAGCCTCTGGAATGTCAGCTTCAGGGAACCTTGCTGAGAATAGCGGTGGAGAGGGAGCTGCTTACCGGGAAACATTAGATTACTCTACCCGCCTTGGTGTGTCAGGGATCCGCGCGGCCGCTTCTGCGGATGTGAGCGGCAGGTGGCATTGGAGAGTCAGACTTGCCTGCGGGCACTAGAGACGACATTCAGGCTCAGGAAAGAGGGAAAGGCCGCAGAAACATGACAAAGTGCCACTCGTAGTCCAGAGAAGAGGAAAGAAAACCCCAAGGATGCGCTTCCTGAGCCTTAGCCCGCTCCCAGCCTTGGCCCCGTGATTGGTCCAGGCTCCGTCCTAGGAGCCGTCGACGCCTCGGAGCAGCTCAGACAGGAAGGGGGCGGCGGCGGGAGTGGCAGTTCCCCAGGACAAACGGATCGATGGTTGTTCCCCGGGCCTCGGGCGGGAGCCGTGAGCCGCGCGCTTCTCCGACTCCAGCGCGCGGCCCTCGGGCGGGAATGCGCCGAGCCGCGACACGATGGCGGGCAGGGGGCTGGGTGGCGCGGGAGAGGGCCGCAGGAGGGAGTTCCAAGAGACTTGCCGCCAGAGAGAGCAGCAAGTGCCCGCGGTCTCCTTGGAGACGTGCTGGCCAATGGCAGCAGCGGAAGCTGTTTACAGGGGCGGGGCGTCGCCATGGCAGCAGGAGAAGCCTTTGGAGCGGCTACTTAATGCCGGTCCCGGGGCCGCCGGCGCTCAGAGAAGCGCCGTTGGGCTGGGGGCGACAAAAGGCGCTCGCGGGGCCCTCGAGCTGGGGGCAGAGAGCGGCGGGGGGGCGGGAGGAACCTCTTCCAGAACCTTCCTCTGGCCCGGGCTGCGCTCTGAGCCAGGTAAGGGATGGGGAGGGCTACGCGCCACGGGAAGGGAGGGCGTCGCTACCAGCCGGCTCTCCCGTCCTCCCCGACGGGAGCGGTGGGCCCAGCGGCCGACGTCGGAGGAGTTTGGGAGAAACTCGCTTCCCGCCCGCGCCCCACAACTCTGTCCCGCTCCCTTCCTTTCCCGTGATCCCTCATCCTAATGACCTCTCCCGACCCCCGCGCCGTCGAACTGCCCTCCCGGACTCCTCGCCCCATTTCCATTCGTGGCGGGGAGGAGGGGTCCTGATTTCCCGCTCTTCGGAAGGGAAAGGTCCGGATGCCCCTCTCTCTCCCCTCACTCACTAAGAAAACCTCCGAGAGAAAAGGATAAGAGGCGGATTCGGTGGGGGTCGGACCCCGGGGCACTGCTCCTGTGTCCCCGACCTGGGCACTGAAAGATCCTCCCCAGCCATGGGGACTTCAGAGGAGGTTCCCGCCTCTCACGCACCCTGTCCCCCGCGGGTGCGGTAAGAGCGCTCAGCGCCCGCTGTGGTCCCCGCAGGCACCACAGACGTGCTCCGAGGTCGCGGGATGGAAGCGCGCGTCCGGGAGGCTGCGTAACCGGAGCCGCGGGCGTCCGCGGCCCGCAGAGCGCGGCGGGCCGGCCCCGGGCCGCACACGCCGGGCAAGCCCACCTCGTCGTGCACGTCGCGGAGCGCGCCCCCGGCGCTGCAGGCCCCGCCCCCCGACGACGTGGACTACGCCACCAACCCGCACGTGAAGCCGCCCTACTCGTACGCCACGCTCATCTGCATGGCCATGCAGGCCAGCAAGGCCACCAAGATCACCCTGTCGGCCATCTACAAGTGGATCACAGACAACTTCTGCTACTTCCGCCACGCGGATCCCACCTGGCAGGTAGGGGCGGTGCGGGCGGTGGCCGCTCCCTCCCCCCCGTCCCCTCGCTACACGGGACTCACATCCCAAAGCCGCAGGCCAAGCAGGCGCGGGTCACCCAGGGCACCGGAAGGGAGGACGGCCGCCGAGGAAGTTCTTGCAACTGCCCCTCCATCGACTTCCAGAAAGGGAGGAGTGAGAGTGTCCAGGGGGATGGGGCTTTCGGGGTGCGGGTGATGGGGCTTTCGGGGTGCAGGTGCTGAGGCTTAAGGGAAGGAACTTGTCAATTCATCCAGCAGGCCTGGCCCAAAGACCAGGACTAGACTACGCGCGGACATAGTCTCCTGGGAAGGGTGATTGGGCTGAGGACACATTCTTGTCCCGAGTCTTAGAATTCCTAGACACTGCCCTGCCCAAGGACAGTTTGTCAGGGCTGGACTCAGAAACGGAAACTGGAGCGTGGCCTCCCAGCAGGCTCCACGGCCATCCTTTTTGCAGTTGGCTCTGGGGGTGAAGGGAAGTGCTGTGGGGTGTGAAGGCCTGCTGTGTCCCAGTGGAAGGGGTATGGGGCCTTCCTAAAGCTGCTGTCCCAGCCCCCCACTCCCACCTCTCCCCAATTGCCTTCCTCCACTAGCCCCCCCCATTCTCAGCCAACCTCCCTGGGGGGACAATTACCTGAGCCAGGTGCTTTCCACAGGGGCTCTGCCTAGCTCACTGTCTTCGTGTACCAAGTCTCCGGAACCTGGCTCAGAGCAGCCAGGGGCTCAGGCCACCATGTAAACATCCCGGCCTTGCCTGAGGGGCACTATTCACCCACCTGCCCTGCTGTCCCAGCTCAGGACCCAAGTCCCCCAGCATGGTTTGGACAAGACTAAGCACCTAAGAATGGACAAGGCAGGATGATGATGGGTTTGAGGCTGAGCACACGTTGCCCTGAGAGTCTTCAACCATCAGGATCGAGGGCTGGTTGGAGACAGAGGCCCCAGGGATGCCCAGACTCTTCCCTGGGGTGGGGCCATTTGTAGTCTAGGTGAGAAAGCAGAGACCCCCACCCCCAGCCTACCCTAGGCTTGTGCAGCTTGGACTTCAGGAAATGGTCCCTAGGAATGAATGCTATGCCCTTGGCTGGTTAATAATCGACTGAGCTGGGCGTGGGAGGAGGGGGCCGTGGGGGGTGAAGGCCCAGGCCAGCGGCTGGCTCAACAAACAAGGAAAGTCACCGGTTCCCCCCACCCCTCATCCCTACACACACACACACACACACACCCATCACACACACCCATCACACACACACACACCCATCACACCATCCTCGGTCGCCCAGCCCCCTCACTTGACCCACTCACTTCGCAAACACAGAGGGCCAGCCAGGCCCAGGCAGAGGGAGATGGCCGTCCAGGCCCTGGGGGAGCCGAGGGCTTTGGCCACAGGCTGCAAGCAGCAGGGTAAGGGAGAGAGGGCAGGCGACGGGGGTGGCAGTGAGAGCCACCCTGTGGCTCAGAGCTCGGATGACTGAGCAGGCAGATATCCCGGCAACAGGGAACAAAAGCCCCCGACAGCACTCCGGGCTCCCGGTGCCCCGTGGCTGGTGTCCCAGAGCCACAGCCGCCTGGTCAGAGCCAGGCCGTCTGTCCTCCCCTCCCCCGTCAAAGACAAGATGGGGGGGTGGCATGCAGGAGCACTGGGTGCCACTCCATCACCACTGTCCCCACTGACCAACGGTTCCTCCTTCTCTCATTCTCTACTTGTGCCCAGAATTCCATCCGCCACAACCTGTCCCTGAACAAGTGCTTCATCAAAGTGCCTCGGGAGAAGGACGAGCCGGGCAAGGGGGGCTTCTGGCGCATTGACCCCCAGTACGCCGAACGGCTGCTGAGCGGGGCCTTCAAGAAGCGGCGGCTGCCCCCGGTCCACATCCACCCGGCCTTTGCCCGCCAGGCCCCGCAGGAGCCCAGCGCCGCCCCCTGGGCCGGGCCGCTGACAGTGAACTCCGAGGCCCAGCAGCTGCTGCGGGAGTTCGAGGAGGCCACGGGGGATGCGGGCTGGGGTGCTGGTGAGGGCAGGCTCGGGCACAAGCGCAAACAGCCGCTGCCCAAGCGGGTGGCCAAGGCCCCGCGGCCCCCCAGCACCCTGCTGCTGACCCAGGAGGAGCAGAGTGAGCTGGAACCCCTCAAAGGCAACTTTGACTGGGAGGCCATCTTCGACACCGGCACTCTGGGTGGGGAGCTGGGCACGCTGGAGGCCCTGGAGCTGAGCCCGCCACTGAGCCCCGCCTCGCACGGGGACGTGGACCTCACCGTCCACGGCCGCCACATCGACTGCCCCGCTACCTGGGGGCCTCCAGTGGAGCAGGCTGCCGACAGCCTGGACTTCGATGAGACCTTCCTGGCCACATCCTTCCTGCAGCACCCCTGGGACGAAAATGGCAGTGGCTGCCTGCCCCCGGAGCCCCTCTTTGAGGCTGGGGATGCCACCTTGGCCGCCGATCTGCAGGACTGGGCCAGCGTGGGTGCCTTCTTGTAAGAGGCCAGGACCCACCCTGCCTCCGGACAGTGCCCAAGTCAGGGCCCAGAACTGCCCCCCAACACAGGCCTACGGACACCCCACAACCCAGGCAGGGGCTGGGCCAGGTCTCCCGGGGCTGGCCCCACAAGGCCACACCGCCGCCAGCCCAGGCTGCCCTCAGATTCAAGCCCGGGAGGCTGATACCTGGGGGTCCAGGACCAGAATTGCTGCCTCCCGTCCCCAGCCCCCCATACACACAGTGTTTCATTGATCCAAGTCTCCCCTGCCCCCGGAACCCGCTAAGGGCCCTGCACAGTGAGAGCTGAGACCTGCAGGGGCCCTGTCCAGGCTGGGGAGGGACAGATAGGGCCCCCCCACAGAGCACCTCCGCTTGGACAGCTCCCCCTCTTCCTCCTGCTTCCCCAGGTCTCTATCCAGAGAAAGTTCCCAGGTACAACAAATGCTAATTAGGTGACAGCAAATTAACCCCCTGGAGGCCTCTCCCGGCAGAGCCTCCCTGGGGCCAGGGCAGGCAGTGGCTGGGGCAGAGCTGGGCAGAGGACTGACTGGGGGAGGGGCAGCAAGGAGACGGAAATGAAGTGGGGTGCAGGAGACTTGCTGTAAGGCCTCTGGGGTCTTCTCCTAGCCCCATCCCTAGGGGTACAGTGGAGGATGTAAATCTTTGAGCTTAAAGCTGAGAGCAGCAGGAAGTTGGGGTTCTGGGGGGATTAGGGGCAGAGGCAGCCAAGCTGCAGGGGTTTGGGGGCAGACAGACTAATGTAGTGACGTAGCTATAGCTAAGGCTTAACTGGGAGGGATGCTGGGCTTGCTGGAACCACTGGGACCAGGAAGGGGGGTAGCCCCGCGCCCCTGCCTGCATTTGTGGTGGAGTGAGGGTCTTGCTCCACCCTGACCCTCTGGGCTGCATCCCACATCCACCCTCCTGCCCCATGGGGCAATTTAACCTTTTTCATGGAAAGTTATTTACAATAAAAAATTTTTAAAAATAAAATTTTTAAAAATCTGAAAATGGACCTGCTGAAAACTTTCTTTGGGAAAATGTGAGGGCCCAGTGTTTTGGATGGGGGAGCACTCATCTTGTTGCCTGAAGGGGGAATGGCTGGGAAGAAGATGGGGGCACACTAAAGGCCTGCAGGGATCCCTGATGAACTCCCCATGACCTCAGTGTCCCCAGGGAGGAAGGGGCTGAGAGGTGGCTATCAGGAGTCCCCTGCAGCCTGGGCCTCAGCGCCTCCATCTGCACAATGGGGGGAACTGCGCCCATAACCCCAGGGAGCTGGAGACAAAGGGAGGGGGTGTGGCCCCTGCCCCAGCCCCAGGGACTCACAAAGGCCGAGTGTGCCCAGGGCTCGGCTCACACCATCCCCCATGGAGAGGGCCTGTCCGGGCTCGCCTGCCCTGAGTCTTAGGTCCCTGGCCTGGGCCTGTCTTCAGTGCCTCCCTCCCTTGGGGTGTGAGGTCAGAGGCACCCAGTCCTGGTCCCCACCTGCCACTCCAGTGTGTATTCACCCAACCCGGCTCAATGCTGGCTTGGGGAGGAGGAAGGCCACCGGGGAGGTGGGGCCCGGGTGTTCAGACCCTCTTCCCCCACTCACACTGGCAGGTCCACTTTGTGAGGGATCAGACTGAGGCCAAGAACCTGGAACTACTACCCGAGTTCTGATGGGGAAACTGAGGCACCTTTCAATTCCCCTCACCCTAGCTTTGCTTGGGATCCACCTCCTCACCCAGCACCCACCCAACCCCACGTACACACCCTCACTGGTGCTCAGCCCCCCCCAGAGCAGCTTTACACACACACACGCGCACACACACACATGCGTGCATGCACCCACACACACAGGCACAAATGGGCACTGTCCACAGCAATCCTGCGCAGCTTCCATGGACCCTTTCTCCTGATGCCCCTTTCTTTCTTTGTCCTCAAGTTTGGCTCTAGGCCAACCTGGCATTCCCCTTGCTAACTTGCTGCTTTCACTTGCTAATTATTCCAAATATTCCAGCAGGGCACACACACTGCAGACTCGGAGTGTCAGGGCCTTACTGAGCCCAGAAGCCAACCCCATCACCTTCACACAGCATGCTGAGGGGCTGTCCAGCCTCCACGCCAGGCTCCCTTCACCCCCCGGACAACCCCTCCCTCTCTCCCCACCACCACACCCTTCTCTCCACAGACCCCAGCATCGGGGGAGCAAGGGGGGCTCCAACCTTCTCCACTGGTCCCCAGGATAAGCTTCCAGCCCTGGCCAAGGTGGGCACACCACTGGGTTGACAAGTGGGGTGTGTCACTGCCCACCCCAGGCTTGCGCTGGGGGGAAGAGGGACAGTGACCGGGCAGGCGGAACCGCCCACTGGGCCAGCACAAGGCCAAAGCAGCAAAGCGAGGTTTGACCCTAGCTGCATGTGACAATCACCAGGAAGCACCTAAATATCCCATTGCCTGGGCTGCACGCTGGACCAAGTAGACCAGAATCTCTGGGGTGGGGCCCAGGCATCAGCATTTTTAAAGGTCTCCAGATGCTTCCAATGTGCAACCAGAACCCAGAGAGGGCCCTGAAGAGGGCTTTGGACAACACTGTCTGCAGGCAGCGTTGGGAGCAAGGAAAGCAGGAGTCTCAGAGCCCGGCGCTGGATCGCTGCGTTGACTGGGCAGGTAAGGGGTTGGACTTAAGAGCCGGAAGCCCCTGGTCATCCCTGCCCTGCCCCTCAGTGGGGTGGCTGTTTTTTTGTTTGTTTGTTTGTTTGTTTGTTTGTTTTTTAGGATAGTCATTTACCTCCTATTCACTTACAGATTCAGCGTTATCTCAACCAAAATATGTTTGGCACCATTTGACACTAAGTTGCAGACATGGTGCTCACCACCACTAAATAGTGTGTATCTCCTTGAAACAAGGTCACTTCTACTAACCCTGGTGCAACCATCAAAATCAGGAAATTAGGGCCGGCCCGGTGGCGCACTGCTACAGTGAGCCGCTTGTGAGCGCGGCGGCGCTCCCACCGAGGGTTCGGATCCCACATACAGACCGGCCGCTCACTGGCTGAGCGAGGTGCGGGCGCAACACCGAGGGTTGCGATCCCGTTGCCAGTCACGAAAAAAGACAAAAAGGAAAAAATAAAAAAAAATAAATAAATAAATAAATAAACCTGAATACAGACCGGCCGCTCACTGGCTGAGCGAGGTGCGGGCGCAACACCGAGGGTTGCGATCCCGTTGCCGGTCCCGGTCCGGTACGGGCGTGACACTGAGGGTTGCGATCCGTTGCCGGTCACGAAAAAAGACAAAAAGGAAAAAAAAAATCAGGAAATTAACATTGGCCTCATAACCCCATGTAATCCACAGAGCCCATTCAAACTTTGCAGATCACCCCCATATTTGCATTTGCAGGACGCACCCCCTCCATGCCTGCGTCCCCATCCAAGATCCCGCATCACATGGGCTGCATTTCCTTTTGAGCTGTGTGGCTTTGAGCTCAAGCCTCAAGTTCTCTGAGCAGGTTCCTCATCTCCTTTCATTCTAACCTACAAACCCCACTTTTGAGGTGACCATTCCCTGAACACCTTCTTTCTCAGGTGTTGGGAGAAGCCCTTTCTCAAAGCAAGGAGCCCCTGCTGTCCCCTCGCTTTGTGCCTTTTCCCCCTCCTCCTTCCCCCAGGGACCCCCTACTGCCAGGGATGTGAGGAAGGGTGGAAAGGCCAAGAGCCCAGACCTTGAGGGCCTCCCCCTCCCTGCCCAGAGTACGTCCTGTTGCACAGGACAGGCCACTGGGGTCCAATGACTCTTGGGTCTGGAAGGCCCCTGAGGATCCCCCTCTTCCCAGAGCTTCATGCTCTTCTGGAGCAAACGGGCTGGGTCCCCTGCAGAGCCCGGCTAGATCTAGGACAGGAATCAATCGCCCTTCTCCCACCCCCACTACCCGGACCCAGACTTGCAACGCTGGAAGGTGGGAAGGAAGGGGCGGCAGGGTCAGCCGCAGTCCCATCCTGGGCTGAGGCCCAAAGGTAAACAGGTGTAGGTGGACTCCCGGCAGGGGCAGGGCTGGGGCAGGTCTGGGCCTGCCAGGGGAGGGACCATGGGGAGGGGTGGCAGAGCCTGTTGTTCACAATGGGTGGGAGAGTGGCCCAGGTCCCGCTGACATGTTCTTGTGTGATGAACAGGAAAGCACAGGTGACAAGGGACGGGAGGCACTGGGGCAGGGGAAGCGGCTTTGTGAGGCCACCCATGCTGGGGCTGTGCTGACCATTGTGAGCCGAGAGGCAGGTGACGAGGTGTGTGGAAGCCCTGGGGGGTCGCCTTCTTCCCTGAGCACATGATGTGTCCACCCCCTCTGTTGCTCCCAGGTGGGACAGGTCAGAGCCACTGCCATGGGCATGCTGGGGCCTGAACTTGCCCCGTGTATGTCAGGAGCAGGTAGGGACCAGCTGGAAGGACGCTGCCCCCCTAGAAGCCAACCAGCCTGAGCTGGCCAGGCAAGGAAAGGTGGGGGTCCCCCCAGCCTCCCGATGCAGTCTTGACCTGGCTGACCCCATCTCCCCACCCTCCCTCTGGGCCATATCACTGTTCTGAGGGCAGGACAGGAGCCTGGGGTCTGAGCCCAGGCCCTCTTCCTCTTTTCCCCTTGAAAGAAGCAGCTCTGCTGAGCTCCCAGGAAAGCAAGAGTTCCAGGAATTGGAGAGGGCGTGCCAAGTACACACCCCAACTCAGCCCGCCCCGCCCCCGGTCCCCCAGGGCCCTTTGAAGCCAAAGCCACTGTGGATTGCGGGCAGCCCTCCCAGTGCTGCTGTTTGCCCAGGGAATTAAGCTGAGGCTGGGAAGCTGCCAACTCTTCTCCCCTCGCCCAGCCGCCCAGGGGCTCTGTCAGTGGTCCTGCCCCCCACCCCAAGCTGCCCTGCCCCCTTCCTGCCTCCCTCTGGGCATCAAGCCCTGTCACCATCCCCACATAGCATCAGAGGTCCCTCCTGCTTGCTGAAGTGGACTGTGTCTGTGATTTGGGCAGGGTGGTGAGGGGCTGGGGGTGGTGTGGGGTACAGACCCTGCCTCTGAGTTTTCGGTCTCATAAACCCACAGGTCTTCAGACCCCTGTGGGCAGATAACCGGTCTTATTCCTACACTCAAAGAGTCAAACATAGTACCCAACTTGTGAAGTGTTTATTGAATAAATGATGAATGGGTGAATGAATGAATGTGCTGGCTGGCAAACCGACAAAAGGCAGAAAAACAGCAAAGCAGCCTTGGAAAAATGCTCCAGATCGTCATCAGCAAGGGCTTCTGCAGTCACTGGGCTGGGGTATTCCCAGAGCCCCCGGAGGCGGTGGCCTGACCTGAGGACGTGCAGAGGCTGGGGAGAGGGCCTTCCGAGCCCTGCTGTGAGGACGCCCCGTGCTGCCTGATTGCTGGGCCTGTGGATCCAGGCCCCCTGCCTGTGCGGTGCCGACAGGCTGCTGGGGGAGGCATGGAAGAGTGAGCCGGGTGAAGAGGGCCAGAGGGGATGCTGGGCAAAGAGGGACGGATGGAGGGAGATGGGAGAGGCCCAGCCTTTTTCATTCTCACCTGTTCCTTCCGGTCCCCAATTCCCTGAGGCCAGGACCCAGATGGTCCTGGGAATGAGGACCACAGAGGGCCGAGAGGCAGGGCTGGCATGGAGACACTGGCATCCAAGACCCTCCCCCCAATCTTTTACTCCCCCACCCAAACCCACAGGGTTGGCAAATGGGCCTTTTACCTGTTTGCACCCTGGCCACAAGGTCACCAGGATAGAGCATTGCCCAGCTCAGCTGTCCTCGCCTGGACCCACCCCGCTGTGCACCTGGGGCTGCTGAACCTGACATCTCTGGAGCCCCAGCTGGCCAGGTCCATGGAGTCCAGGGTCCTACCCTGAGGGTGGGAGATCCAGTGGAGCCAGAGAACCCAGTGCCTGGTATTTGGCTAAAGATTAACCCTGGCTTGGTGGAGACTGCCTGCATGGCTGGGGCAGGAGCCAGCGCTGTTCCACGAGGCCAGGAAGTGTGGGTGGTAGACCTCGCAGAGGGCCAGGACTCGTACCACCACCGATGCTCCCTGGGTCCCTGGGTGTCGCTAGTTCATGTGAGGGTTGTATTGGAGGGAGTGGGACATTGCAAGGATCCCAGCCCTGGAAGGAATTCAAGCAGGGGAGGAGGAAAGTCATCCAAAGACTGTTCACCAAGTGCGCCCAGGGAGAGGAAGGTCATGAAGAGGGGACCGTCCCTACCCCTGGCCCCCTACCCAAATGCTCAAGCTGCAAGGCTCCCGCACCCTCCCGCACAGGGAGCTCTTGTCTGCAGGAAGAGTTTGGGAGAAAATCACATGGGGAGAGGAAAGCAGGAGCGGAGGCGGGAGGGCCACCGGGATAGCTGGTTCCACAAGGCCTGGACCCAAGAGCAGGCCCAGTATCCTCGTTTTGCAGAGGAAGAAACTGATCTCTGTGGTCCCGCCCAACTCTGGTGTCGGGTGGTCCTAAGGCCTGTTGGTGCATTAGAGCCTGCAGGTGCCCACAAAAGAGAGCACTCCCTCTGCTACCCTCCACTAGGACTTCGGCCTCCCACTGGATTCCCAGTCCCCCTCACATCAACGACCGTGGTGACTCCAAGGGGACTTGGGAAACGGACTACAACCTAAGAGAAAAGAGACAGACATGAGTGACAAGCAAATATGTGGCTGCAAAGTGAAAATCAATCCAGGCTGGGAAAATTGAGGACAGTCTGAAGGAGCAGGCACTTAACAGCTACTTAGTGAAGTCACAAGTGAATGAATAATTACATAAATTAATAAATGAAGGGGAGCCAATTTGGGGAAGACAGGGGAGGAGACAATGCTGGCTTTGGCATGTCCTATGAAGGTCACCCCAGGTTATACAGAGACATCGTTGGCAGGTGGATACCAGAAACCTGAAGGAGATGGATCCAGGGCTCAGACATAGCCATAGAGACCACATAACGAAGGTCGGGGCTAAAGCCCTAGGTGCATGGACTCTTCCAGAACAGAGAATGGGAGGAGGAGAGCAGAGAGACTGAGAGGGGCCAGTTAGGAAACCTGAGCACAAGAGGGGCAGGGAAGGAGGCTGGAACAGGGAGGCGGAGGCTGCCACCCCTGCACACCCACTGCTGGCAGGTCCTGCCACCGCCACCGCCCTGCAGGGAGAGTCAACAGTGCTGAGTGCTGCAGAGTGAGGAACGGCAGGAAGCCAGCATCTGCCCAGGAGGTCCCTGCAGCCCCCCACAGGGCACTTTCCTTAGCATGGTGCTGGGGTGGGGACCGAGTCTGAGGGCGGGCAGCAAACTCAGAGCTCCACGTAGGGAGACAGGCAGGAGAGGCTGGGGATGGTGGCTGTAACAGGGCAGGCCGAAGGGAGGCTCTTCTAAGATGGGAAGACCTGGGTGTGTTTGACGGGAAGAGAGCAGGAAGGGGCCGCCCCTCCCCCCCAGGAGAGGGTGGATCGAAGATGCTGGGGGAGGGGGCTGTGGAGAGAGCAGAGGACAAGCCCCCGCATGGCAGCAGGAGAAGAGGGTCTCAGAGGACGCAGGAAGGGTGAGCTCCGGCCCCAGCCTCTTGCTTCCAGAAGGAGGAGGGAGGAGATGGGGCTGGGGCTGCGTCATGGGGACAGGAGGAGGCATGGGGAGCTCTGGCTCCAGCTAGTG